GCCTTTGCAGCTTCTGTCATGAATGTTCAAAGAGGAATATTAGTGAGTGTCTGTTATACTAAGAAAGATTAGAGACAATGTAAGGGGCACTGACCAGCAAGTTGATCCTTGTATGCCACTAAAAGCTCGAGAAGAGCCCTGAATACAGCTGGCAAGACCTCTCCAAGTAATTGACCAGCAGGAAGACTGAGAAGTGATGTCAACCCCAAGATGCAAACTTTCTTATCATTTTTTCTGTGTATGTGAAAAGCAAGGAAGATTATTATTATCTTGAAGGAAATGTGAAGAGAGGATAGAGGTTACAAAGATTAGATTCACCCCACCTCTTGAAGTTAGCATGTACACCACTCTTCTTCTTTTCTTGCAGCATATTAAGCCAAAGGGTATCAGAGCATCAGCGATTAACTCGGTGAAAGAAAGCTAAACAAAAGGGGCAATTAACTCTATGAAGCACAATTTAACTGCAGTGCTACTTTGCTTACCACTTCAATCAGAAGACATCTGAAGGAGGATTTCTCAGTACCTCGTAGCCGATCTAATGTGATTCTCAGGTAAGGTTCCACACAATGATCCACCTGTCCCTTGCAAGTCTGAAGCACAATCCCTAATAGCTTAGGAGCTGGCATCATCAATACTTTTAAATTTGTATGAGTATGTTCATTATTACACAAAATCAAATTTTAAAACAGCACTATACAAACAAAAAGATGATAATAATATATATATATAAGGTTATCCAAAGCATAATTTGAAAAATATAAATGATAGAAACTAGAGGTGAGTCATATTTATCAATTAATCAAGAGAAGAGGGGGAAAACACAAATATATACCCTAACAAGTTAGTCAAAGTTGGAACCTAACAAGCAAGCAAAGTCCCAAGATACTTGTGTTCTACACAATCACACCTTGCCATGTTCACATAACATACGCAATAACAAATTCCACACCAACTTCATATTTTACTACTATTATGTTCTTATTAGTTTTCATCATGTTCATGATATGGGAGAAAGGAT